CGGTATAACGATACTCACCTAGTTGATAGACTGCTGATATTCAAATTATTGATATGTGACACAGAAGAATTATGAAAATATTCCTAGTGGGATGATCATGCATGAAGGATGTGATAGTCATTCGAGTGCTGGAGTTGTGATCAGTTATGATGGTTCATGTGTNTAGGTTATGATATGCCTAGAGTTGACGGTTAAGCGTAAAGTTATGACGTTTCTCCTATTCGTACCTTTGTTGAGAATTAACTGGGTAGTTACTATTTTCGCGTTAACTTCCGAATTGATTTGTGATAGTGCACTTTGCACATGCCTACTCTATGACGTGTTATTTATACTAGTCTAGGAGCATGTGAATTTTACTTCATTTATCATATACATGTGTACTTATTTGATTGCTCATGTATGATATGCTTGGACTGGAGGCATGTGAGCATGCCAGGCGGATTATGTTATTGGCACGTGAGTTGTCCGTGCGGGTGATGTTAATGTGAGCTCTAGGAGAGCTGGTTACCATTATTAGATTCGTGAGTCTTGGTTTTACCATGTATGATGAGCTTATAGCATTGCAGTTGTGGTGGTGCTCGTTGAACTTGCAATACAGTTCTCTACTTTGAGTCATTTTTTATTTTTGGGTACGCGGATTGCGCCATTGTGGCTGGAGTTATATTGGTGTGGCTTGTCTTCGGGATAGTTGTGTTTAATAATATAAGGTCATTGGACCTAGAATGGATACTCTCAGGTTTGATTATAGCGTGTTGGAAGAATAACTTAGAATTCGGCTTAAATAATTGGCTATGGTACTTGTTGAACGAGGGAAAGCTCCGTGACTTGTTGATCTGGTAAGTGGTCATGAAATATCACGTGTTTCTTTTATTATCAACAATGTACGAAGGTTTTGGGATGAGGTTTGGTTTGATATGGGGTTTAATACTAGTACTTCGTTGGTTTTGGAGTAGTTACTGTGATCAGGAATGGTGCTACGAGCATGCGAGTTGTGTAATATGTTAGGTGATTATATCCGTGGTTATAGTTATGGCTTGATGCAGCTTGTTCAGACTTATACAGTGTGTAACTGTGAGATTCGGGTCTTGTAAGAAATTCTGAATGTTGGAAATTGAATTCCAAGGTTTATGGGCTAAGGTTGAAGTAATAATTTTTAATTATGTTCTGTTGTCAGGCCTATACAGTTTACACAGAATAGGGTGACGTGGGATCACCCCTCGGGTATGTGCGTGGTAAGACGGAATAGTGATGAGATGGCTTGGAAATAACTTTTGGCACGTTCGAGGACGAACGTATGTTTAAGTGGGGAAGAATGTAACGCCCTGACCGGTCGTTTTGAGTATTACAACTCCGTTTCCCTATTTACTGCTCAATTTATGATTTTAAATTATTTTATGACTTACCGGGTTAATTAGTTCGGATCCGATGAGGTTTTGGAAGGAATTGGAACACTTAGTTCCAAGGTTTAAAGCTTAAGTTAAAATAATGACTGGATGTCGACTTATGTGTAAATGACCTCGGAATGGAGTTTTGATGATTCCAATAGCTCCGTATAGTAATTTTGGACTTAGGAGCGTGTCTGTAAAATTATTTAGAAGTTCGTAGTGGAATTTGGCTTGAAATGGCGAAAATTGAATTTTCGAGAAGTTTGACCGGGGAGTTGACTTTTTGTTATCGGGGTCGAAATCCAGTTCTGAAATTTTTTATAGCTCCATTATGTCATTTATGAATTGTATGCAAAATTTGAGGTCAATCGGACGTGATTTGGCAGGTTCCGGCGTCGTTTGTAGAAATTGAAAGTTTCAAAGTTCATTAGGCTTGAATCTATGTGTGATTCGTATTTTTAGTGTTGTTGGATGTGATTTGAAGACACGGCTAAGTTCGTATGATATTTTAGGACTTGTTGGTATGGTTGAGGTCCCGGGGGCCTAGGGTGAGTTTCGGACGGCTAACAGATCAATTTTGGACTTGGCATTCCAGTTGAAGAATGCTGGTTTTCTGTCACTGGTTTCCTTCTATGCGATCGCATGAGAATGTCCCCGATCGCGTAGGCTAAGTTGGAGCAGTGAGATTTTATGCTATGTGATCGCGTGAAGGATTCCGCGATCGCGTAGGTTTGGCCAGGTTGTGCTACGCGAACGAGTGTGAAATGCCGTGTTCGCGAAGAGGAATGAGGCAAAAGGCTGGGCCACGCGTTTGCTCTATGCCATCGCGTGTCGCTGTCCGCGATCGCGTAGGGTTGAGGATCCTATGCTTCTCGATCGCGTGAAGGACACCGCGATCGCGTAGGGTCTTTTCTGGGCAGTGAAAGTTTGTGTTTTGCGATCGCGTATGGTTGTCCGCGATCGCGTAGAGCAAATGACTGGGCAGAGAGTTTAAGTTCTGAAAAGGGACTTTGTCCCATTTTTTATTTTTACCGATTTGGAGCTCGGATAAAGGTGATTTTTGGGAGATTTTTAGAGAAAATAATGGGGTAAGTGTTCTTAACTCAATATTGGTTAAATTACCCGAATCCATGATTTTTAACATTTAGTGGGTGAATTAAGTTGAAAAATTTAGAAAACCCTCTTGGTTTAATTTGAAAATTTGAGGGTCGAGTTGAGGCCGGATTTTGAAAAAATTGGCATGGTTAGACTCGTGGTTGAATGGGCTCTCGGATTTTGTAACTTTTGTCGGGTTCCGAGACGTAGGGCCCACGAGCGAATTTTGAGCTAAATTTCGGATTTTTGTTGGAAAATTAGTATTTTCTTATGGGATTAATTCCAATAAATTTTATTGACTGAATCGAATTAATTGTAGCTAGATTCGAGGCATTTGGAAACCAATTCACGAGGCAAGGGCCTATCGGAGTAAAGAATTACACGGTTTGAGGTAAGTAACACTTCTAAACTTGGTTCTAAGGGTATGAATCCCCAAATTTATGTTATATAAATTGTTTGGAGGTGACACACATGATAGTTGACGAGCGTGTGGACGTGCACCATTGAAATTGTTACTCGACGAAATCATGTGAAGTTGAAAAATTAAAGAATAATGTTATTATTTGAACATGTTAGAGAAATTGAGCTGATACTCTTATTAAAGATCATGTTTAGGCTACATGCCAATATTTTTGGGACCCATGGGGTCGTGTTGCTGTTGAATTAATTGTTTTAAAAAAATATACATTTCATACTCAGTCATATTCGTCCACTGTGAGGATATTTATGGGATCGAGCTGTGTGCCGCAGCAGGCCATATTGGCTTTATATATGTTATCATTAAATGGATCGGGGATGACCGCCTGCAGCATGCCATAATGGCTTTATACATTATTATTATATGGATCAGGGATGCCCGCCTACAGCAGGCCTTATAGGCTTTATTATTTTATGGATCGGGGCTGCCCGCCTGCAGCAGGCCTTATAGGCTTTATTATTATACGGATCGGGACTGCCTGCCTGCAGTAGGCCATAAAGGCTTTATATCACGGTTGGGCTGAAGGAGCCCCTCCGGAGTCTGTACACACCCCCAGTGAGCGTAGATGATTATATATATTCGAGATGGATTTTCCAGGGCATGGACTTGCCTTACTTATTTATATTGTAATGAATTTATCTGGACATGGATCTTGTCCGAATCATTTACATTTGGGGAAAAATTACCCTAGGGCTGGGTTGGCCTTATACGATACCGAGTGACTGACTGTCAGTCAATGTGTATTTATATACGAGTTGGAATATCCCTGGGCTAGATTGGCCATAAATAGTACCGAGTGACCGAATAATTTGTGACCAGTATTTACATGAGGTCTTTCTACTGAGATGTCCTATTCCTCATATCATGCAGTATTGATCTATTTCATTTGTACTGAGTTTAACTGTTGAACTTGAAAGCATGCCTACATATTTACCATTATTTATACTGGACTGTACTTGTGGAGCTCGTTACTACTTTCAGCCCAAAGGTTAGTCTTGTTACTTATTGAGTTGGTTGTACTCATACTACACTCTGCACCTCGTGTGCAGATCCAGGTGCTTCCGGACACGACAACTGTTAGACCTCAGTATGTTACTAGTTGGAGACTATCAAGGTAGTTGCTTGGCATCCGCTGACCTTGTCTCTCTTTCCTTCAGTTATTGTACTGTTCTATACTTTCAGACAGTGTTTTTATCAGTGACACTTTGTATTCATATTAGATGTTCATGTACTTAGTGACACCGGGTTTTGGGAGTGTTTATATTTGTATTTGTGAGATTTCTTCCGCTGAATTTAATTATTATGTTTTCAAATTTAAAAGATATGGTGGTTTATTGAGATTGTCGGCTTGCCTAGTATTGAGATAGACGCCATCACGACAAGTGAAATTTTGGGTCGTGACACAACTTCAGAAATTTGCACAAGTAATAAATTAGAATGAGAGATAACGTAAGATTATTATCATTAAAAATAAATGTCTAAAGCTTGTATATACAATAAATGTGCTCAATTTTATCTTTGGTATTCATTATAACGTATAATTACATTTTTATTTAACAATGTTAAAGGAGTATTGTTAAACTGAAGGGTAAAATGATCGTTTAGCTTTTGAAATATATTTTAGTAAAATAACTTTTCCAAAAGTTTTAAAATTTATAATATAGTATGATATAAATATAGATAGATATAGATATAAATATATAGGTATATAGATATATAGGTATATAGATAGGTAGATATAGATATAGATATAGATATAGATTTCAAATATAAATTTAGATTAATCGAATCAATATATTCCGAAAATAGATAGTTAAGCAAAACTAGTAATCTCTTCAAATATGTCTAATCAACTAATCAAAGAAAATATACAAATTAAATTTTGTTCCCCTACAAATGCACATAGCAAAATCCTACGTGTCAAGATCCCAGTGGAAGATCCCACAAAAACCACCTACGTCAAAGACACGTGGCAGAATCCGATAGGCTAATCTAACGTGGAATGACACGAGAATCCTTTAACCTTTGAACCCTCTTTGTCACTTGTAACACAAAAGAATTTCACATTGTGAAAAAAAGACAAATCTATATAGTTTGGTTCAAAAATTACACGCACATATGTATTGTATTTTGTATGTATTTACAGTCAATTGAATAATGGAGCCATTGATTACGAAGCTATGGAGCTTTGATTATTTCGTAGCATGGAGGGGCTTTCTATTTTCAGCATTAATACTCAACTTTGTATTTGCCTGCCAATTTCTTTTTCTTCAACCCCTTGTATCTGCCTTAGGTAAACTTTCAAGATTTGATTTTTATGATTATATTGTTTGATTTTTTGATTTGGGGTTTTTAAAATTTTAGCTGTAAATTTGGATACTTTAGATTTGTGCATTTGAAATATGTGATTAATAGTGACAGTTGATTTGGGGATTTAACTTTCAAGATTTGAGCTTTGAGCAAAAATGTTTATGATTTTCTTGGCTTAGAATGCATATTGCTATTGTACCAGACTCAACTCATTTAATTTTTTACTTAGAGAGTATAAAGATTACAAATTTAATTCTTAGTAAAAAAGTTTAGAAGTAAAAAAGACAATTTGCTGTTCTTCTTTTGGTTGGTTATTAGACAATTTGCTGTTCATCTTTTGGTTGGTTGTTATTAACTTCTAAGATATTGCATTCTTAATCCTCTCTTTTAGTCTTTCTGCTAATGAATTGTCTTCGAAGTAATGAAAAATCTGCATTTCATCCCATTTGCCTAAGCTGGACATAGTTACTCGATACGTGTGCTGGTAGGATGTGGTAGATATGATTGTGCGCACAGGTTGGCACAAACACCAACATTATCCCGAAAAAGAAAAAGAACCTAGGAAGGTGAAGTCTGTGTATTCACAGGCTTGTCGGAACCAAAGTTCTTTTGTGAAAAGGAAATATCAGAGACTTAGCGTCGATATTGAGGAAGTGAGGGGGAAACTGAGGCACCAATTCAAATAAGGATGTTAGTGATAGAAAGTTAGATAGAAAGGTTAACTGTGGCAGATCTTAGGTCATGCAGTAATGAGAAAGAACTAGATCTGGTAAAAAGATGGAATGTGAGTGATTGAACTTTAAAGTAATGCAATGTTGTAAAGTGGGTAGTTGATACTTTAAATTGGGAGGGGGGATTTGAATTGTTGTTTGATGTTATCTTGAGTGAATCCGGTAGTTTTGTTGTTGTAAGAAAGGAGCGAAGAGGTTATGTGCCTACTAATAGCATGATTTATGCTGTTCTTTTGTCATGTCATTGAAGTGGCATTTATTGTTCTCTAATATTTTTGCTATTCTTGATATGTAGACACTAAACCTGGTGACGCTGCTGCATTGTTTGAGAGAGTTTCACAAAATGTAAAAGTTAAGAAATACAGTGAGGCACTTAATGATCTAAATTCAGCCATAGAGGCAGACCCAGCGCTATCAGAAGCGTATTGGCACCGTGCATCTCTTCTTCGTCAGTTGTGCAGGTTAAATCCAACTCTTTTACTGCATATTAAAAGCTGGTCGTGTTAATATAAGCTTGTTTGATGTATGTGAACATCTTCATTAGCCGCTTCCTATTATCTTCCATTTAACGGCATGTGCTGCATGTTGTTGTTGATGGTGCTATGCAGCTTCTAGATAGCAAATAATTACAATGGCTAATGGGGTACGCCTTCAATGATTAGACTCCTAGGCAGTGGCGGAGCCAAGGATTATAGCAAGAGTATTCAAAAAATTGCAAGAATGCTACACCTGGGATTTAAACCTATTGCCTAAAACATTTTTGAACCACCTTCGCCACTGGACTAGAATATTCTCTTATGTCATGGGGAGTTCAAACATTTCATATATATATATANCCTATAAAGCTAATTCAATTGAACCTCCTTGCATCTACCTAACGCGTGCAGCTCTTCCCTGGACTCTACGTGAACGCGCGATGCTTTGCACCGGGCTGCCCTTTTTCTTGAATTTGTTATTCTGACCTAGGTTTAAGATATTTAGGTGTGTGAATATGGTAACAACCATTTATCATGTCCGGAGCTTGACTACACTAGCATATCATCAAAATTGTTATTTTCTAGGTCAATTCATGTACCTCTTAATTTTGTTGGCATCTCGCTCAAGTAGCCGATTGTCTCAAATTGTGGGCTATTTACGTTGGAATGGCGCAATAAATGTATCTGTGGTCCCACAAACCTTGTTCCCCATTAGTTAGCGTTCAAGCATTTAAGATCTTGTCTCTATAGGTAGCATCTGATTTGAAAATTATGTTATTAAGGCATTTACCTTGCATCAAAAAATCATATGATTTAGGCGATCTTTGGCTTATGTAGATATGATGAATCAGAAAGAAGCTACAAAAAGTTTCTGGAGATGAAACCAGGAGACTCAGCTGCGGAAAAGGAGCTTTCTCAATTGCACCAATCTAAGAGTGCTTTTGATTCAGCGACCAACCTGTTGGAGACAGGTGACATTAAAAAAGCATTGGAGTATATAGAAAAAGTCGTTCTCGTTTTCTCTCCGGCGTGCTCCAAGGTATTCATTTCTAGCAATTTGAGGCTTTTGTCATTGTTAGAGATGTAGTCATATTGTATTATTGTCCTAACTTCTTGTGAAAAAGCCACTTGGTGTTACACAGAGGATGATGTTTTCTTAATGTGAATTTCTAGGCCAAACTCCTTAAGGCGAAGCTATTGCTCTCAGATAAAGACTATTCCAGTGTCATATCTGAGACGGGATACATACTTAAAGAAGATGAGGATAATCTGGAGGCTTTACTGCTACGAGGCCGTGCCTACTACTATCTGGCTGATCATGATGTCGCCTTAAGGTAACTATCGACCTTGTCACTATTTCCCTACCTCCCACTACANGCGATCTTGTCACTATTTCCCTACCTCCCACTACACCAATCCAAGATAAAATCATTCCAAAAGAAAATGAAAGGCAAATGTTAAAAAAGCCAAATGTCATGTTATTGAGGTTGTTTAAAGAAGCTTTTTACGCACTTCTTCAGGCACTATCAAAAGGGTCTTCGTTCAGACCCAGAGCATGGGGAATTGAAGAAAGCATATTTTGGCTTGAAAAACTTACTGAAAAAGACTAAAAGTGTAAGCCTCGCTATCTTCCCCGACAATCTTCCCCTAAGTGCAGACCTTTTTCCTGCTGCTATATCTCCAAGATATGCTACAATGTGAGCTTCTTAAACCTTGACCTTTCGCGCAGGCAGAAGATAATGCAAGTAAGGGTAAGCTTCGCCTTGCTGTGGAGGAGTATAAAGCAGCACTGACAATGGACCCCAACCATTCTGCACATAATGTTAATCTTCATCTTGGTTTGTGTAAAGTCTTGGTGAAGCTTGGAAGAGGGAAGGATGCCATATCGAGTTGCTCAGAAGCTCTTGAGCTTGATGGAGAGCTTATTGATGCTCTAGTGCAGGTTCTATCTTCATCTGCTTCTGCTTTGTTTCAACTTGTAGTTGCTCGGACTCTTCACCTTCGATGCCGCACATTGACGAAGAAATTCGGAGCGTATACAGTTATTTCTGAAATCAAAACAAAAGCTAGGGTAAAATTGAAGAAAATGGAATACCTTGTATATAGAAATTTCTATGTCAGTCCTTTTCCTTTTATCTCCTTCTTGGATTCTCCTCTTGATCAATATTTTCTCCTCCTCGGAATACCTTGTAAGTTTTCCACATAATGACCCATAATTCATTTTTTAAAATATTTGAATTATTTTTAGCCGAATCCCCGCGTTGTTATCCATATCAGGATCCATGTCCTCGAATCTTAAAATTTAGATCATGAAGGATCGGACCTCTAGATTCGGACCCGTATCGGACCACCGCATCCGAGTCCGAGCAACTTGGCATAGTTGTACTCGATGAAGTTGTTTGCTTAGAAATATCAAGTTTACACCATAAATCCTGAATCTTTGAGTTGGGCATATTTTTACAGAGGGGTGAAGCCAAGCTTCTAACAGAAGATTGGGAGGGGGCTGTTGCGGATTTGAAAGAAGCAGCTGAAAAATCTCCTCAGGTTTGTTGGCAACTATTTGCTGTGGTTTTGTTTGTTCATTTGCTCTTTTTGACTTTCAAACTGTTCTTCTCAGTGTTGTTTCTTCACATAGTAATACTGCATCTAAGATGAGAGAAGACATTGGCATGATAACTCAATCTTGCCAACACATATGGTGGATATATGATATGATTTTGCGTTTTTCCTCTTTTTTTTTNCGCATATTGAAACAAAAAAAAATTTTGTGATTCACTGTCTCCAAGTCAAAATAACATCTTTCCTTTTTACTCAAAACCAAGTTTGCTTGTCCGATGTTTTCCTGCATATGAATCCATATATTACACCTATATCTATGGTCCTTTCTATAGAGGTTCATCTTTTTAGCCTTAATCTGAATATCAAATAATCTGAAGTATACTTCTATAGGATAGGAATATTCGTGAAACGCTGATGAGGGCTGAGAGATCTTTGAAATTGAGCCAACGGAAGGATTGGTACAAGATCTTGGGAGTGTCAAAGACAGCATCTGTTTCAGAGATCAAAAAGGCATACAAAAAACTTGCTCTGCAATGGCATCCAGACAAAAACGTTGAAAACAGAGAAGAAGCAGAAAACAAATTTCGTGAAATAGCAGCTGCATATGAGGTTCGCTTTTGTTTCTTTTCCATCAGTTTTCAGTTCTTATTTTAGTAGCCACATTGCAGTGTTAGATTGATGACACAAGTGAGTCATTTCAGATAAAGTATGAAATTATGCCTATCTATTAACAGATCTCATATTATAAAATGGCTTTTCTTTGATTTTTTTCCCCCTTAAATTTTCTTCTATTAGCATGTCAGGCTATGGACATTCTGCTATTTGTCTGAATCTCATGCCTCTCTTACCAGATTCTAGGTGACGAGGAAAAACGTACACGATATGACCAAGGGGAAGACATTGACGACATGGGTTCAGGAATGGGTGGTGGGGGTTTCAACCCATTCGGCGGAGGAGGGCAGCAGTATACATTCCACTTTGAAGGAGGATTTCCAGGTGGGGGATTTGGCGGATTTCATTTTTGACCTCGACGCTGTTCTTTGCCAAGAAACTCCTCGCATTGTTTCTGCAAGGAATGCACAGTTCAAAGTACAGTAGGCTCTCATACACATTCCCAAGAAGTTTTTGCTTTGCGGATACCATTTTTTTCTTTCATTTATGTAATTGAAGCAGTAGATTTAAGGAGAATTGATCGGATCGATAACAGGTCCATGTGTAACTTCCTAACTCAAAATGGGATGTGGAGGAGATAACTGATGTTACATTATCAAATAGTTCTTCTGAAACCCGGTGACAAAGATTCGAAATAATTTCTCATTTCTGTACTGAGTTCACAGGAGCCAAGCCAAGTAGCGCGAAGTTTGTCAAGCCAAGTAACTCATATTTGAGATTGACAAGTTGAATTACAGGTAGTTGATGCAATTGGTTATGTTTTTTTTTTCTGGGTTGCATTTAGTGATAACTTTTAAATGCTTTTCTGATTATACCGAGTTTATGAAAGAAACTTGACATTCAACTATGAAAAGGGATTCATACTCTCTTTTCGTTTGAATTACTATTTGGATTCTTAAATAGTTTTTGTGCCAAATAATAGCTTTTCTTTATTTATATATAAGTAGTTCAACTGCAATGGTGTAACTAGTGATGGCAAAATGCATAAAAGCGGCTATTCATCTATATTATCGATTAAAAAATGGATTGGATAGTAAATTTTTTAAAAATGAGCAAAATATGGATAAGATCTATATTATCCGTTTAAAAAATGGATAACCAATGAGTTTAATTTTTATATTTGCAAAGATTCAAATTGAGGGTTTCTCAAGTTTGGAGACTAAGAATTCTTCCTAAAGTGATCATACACGAGAAATCATGGATAATATAGATATTCACATTATCTGTCGGTTAACCCATTTTTTACATGTATTAAATATGGGTCGGGTCATGTAATTTATCCGTTTTTTGCATTATCCGTTTTCGACATGTCTATATCCGACCCGCCATGCCCGTTTGACACCCCTAGATGTAACTATCCTAGGATAGACTGGTTTTACAATCAAGGAAGAGTGTCTTTAAGCAGATAAATCTAAATATCATAATAGCAAACTTAACAAGTATTCGTACAAAACAAATAAGAAACAAAAAAAAATCACATGTGCATCCAATAAATGGTGTCAAGTACAGGGAATCCCGAGCTACTATGCCAAAAATAAAAGTACAAAGGAACTGAAACTGAAAGAAAGGATATAGTACTAGATGATTTGTTTTTTAAATGGAAGGAATTCTCAGAAATCAGAATATTCGCCTGGAGAATATTGCCTATAGAATTATTGCTATTGCCTCGTAATTCTGGACACGTGCACTCAGTTTCACAACAATAATGAGACAATAATCAATTTCTAATCTTTAGTACCTCTATACAAGTCACAGGTCAATTCCCTTGTACCAATAATGGAGTCCAGACCAAAACCATTTCCCCCCCTTATCCTTATGCTCTTCTATTGCTTAACATCAGCAATAATAACTGTACATACAATCTTCCTTTCCCAAAGAAGCCCTGCCAACAAAATCAGGTTACCTCACAGTTAACTCAACAACTGGCTCAGCCATTTTTTACACTTTCTATGAAGCCCAAAAACCCAGCACAAAACTCCCTCTTTCTGAAACCCCAATTCTCATTTGGCTCCAAGGTGGTCCTGGTTGCTCTTCTATGCTTGGAAACTTCTATGAACTTGGTCCTTACCGTGTATCGTCTTCTTTCAGGCAAAACGTCGAACATCTTTCGCTCGAACCTAATCCTGGTTCTTGGAATCGAATATTTGGGCTCCTTTTTCTTGATAATCCTATTGGAACTGGATTTAGTATTGCTTCGACTCCTGATGAGATACCAAGAAACCAACATGATGTTGCTAAACACCTTTTTAAAGCTACAAGAGAGTTTGTTGCATTAGATCCTTTGTTTAAGACGCGTCCGATTTACTTAACCGGTGAAAGTTATGCTGGTAAATATGTGCCAGCATTTGGGTACTATACAGTGAAAAAGAATGCGGGTTTGCCTAAATCAAGACAGTTGAATTTAGCTGGTGTCGCGATTGGGAATGGATTGACTGACCCCGATACTCAAGTGGGCACTCATGCTTTGAGTGCTTATTATTCCGGATTGATCAATGAGAAGCAAAAGACACAATTGGAATCGCTTCAAAAGGAAGCGATTCGACTTACCAAAAATGGCAATTGGAGCGCGGCAACGAGTGCTAGATCGAGGGTGTTAGGGATGTTGACGAATATGACGGGGCTTGCCACTTTATATGATTTTAGGAGGCTAAAGCCTTATGAAGATGAATTGGTGGCTAAATTTTTAAGCAATGTAGATATCAAGAGGGCTCTAAAAGCAAATGATTCGATAGCTTTTGAAGTATGCAGTGATTCAGTAGGCAAAGCATTGCACGAGGACGTGATGAAAAGCGTGAAGTACATGGTGGAGTTCTTGGTTAAGAATACTAAGGTGTTGTTATACCAGGGACAGTGTGATTTGAGAGATGGAGTGGTGTCGACTGAGGCATGGATGAAGAAGATGAAGTGGGACGAAATTGATAAGTTTTTGGAGGCGGAGCGGAAGGTTTGGAGAGTGAATGACGGGCTTGCTGGATATGTGCAAAAGTGGGAGAGTTTGAGCCATGTTGTGGTAATGAACGCAGGGCATCTTGTGCCTACTGATCAAGCAGTGAATTCTCAGGTGATGATTGAAGATTGGGTATTGGAAAAGGGATTGTTTGCCACGGGTCAGATTAAGCAAAAGCCAAGAAATATTGGTAAATCACTCTGAGTTCTTTGTGGCATCTGCTACTCAGTTGTCGTAGTTGTAATATGCTTGTTTTATCAGTTCCTTTCATGATGTTTGAAATTTTCTAACTAGAAATAAAAGGCAAAACTTTCTGATAATGCTTGGCGTTCTTTTTGACCATCCCTAGTTTCTCTTGCTCCCCTTGCTCATTCTTTCTTGATCTTAACATTCCTTTTTTCCGGGAATGAAAGACTAAAACATTGCATCCTAACAATTCAGGTACACTGCAGTTACAGACTTACAGGTACCTGACCCATCGAATAGATGTGATCTTAAGAAAAATAGTAAATTGTGGAGGGGCATATTGAAGATTAGTAGGGAATGACACAATTTTCACTGTAAATTGAAAGGCATAATAGGGAATGACACCAAGATAAGGCAATGTTGCTCTGAAAACACAGCATTTGCTCAAATTATATCATCCTATTTCAGTTAGTTTATTTACACTAGTACTCCTAATTTCTCGTATTCATTCTTCCAGGCTAATAGGAAAATAGAGTAGTAATGAATCCTAGAGGTGGGTTTTTCATTCTTTTGCCTCAAGGTGGCGTAGTCTAACCAAGCTAGGTGACTCTCTAAATTATTGCTTAGAAATTGTGAAGGATTGAAAAGAAAAAGAAAAATAAATATAAGGCCAGCATCTAATGTCATTGAATGTGTTTAGATAAAGAAAGTGTACATAATCGAAGGAAGCACACTATTTTCCTATGGTTTGGAGCGCAAAACAAAACAACATTGGCCAATAACACCATTAGACCAGTGTATATTTTCTTTGACAATTTCAGTAGAAGTAGCTAAAGGTAATGAACTTTTTTCAATCTCCTTCCTCCCGCTCCTTCAAACATCGGAATTTCATTCTTGTAAAGATCTGTCATTTACTCGATGTCGATACTTTCATGCTCACTCCACCCCTATAATTTGTTGTCGAGTCCATGTGAATACCAGCAGTAGACCACTACAAACTCCCATTTCTCCTTATTGTCTCATGTTACAAATGCGTACGGTTAGGTGATAAATGACAAGAGGAAGATCCAGTTAGAATTCCAAGCTAAAGCCATTTCATTGACAAAGGGTGGCAATCAGAGTGAAGCAACAAATGTCAGAATTAAGTTTTTCAACACATTTCGAAACATGACTGGATAAGAAACATTCTAGTATCCTAAGGCAAAAGTCATTTGCAGTACCAAGGGTACCACCCGCCAGGGGCAAAACTATATGTCTTAAAGGGTGGTCAACTGACCACCCTTCGTCGGAAAATTATACTTCGTATATAGGTAAAATATTAGGTTTTAGAGGTATATGACATATATTGAACACTCTTTGTCAGGGAACTTTTTTCACTTATTTCAAGTTTTAACACCCTTGAGGAAATTTCTGGCTTTGCTACTGCCAGCCATTGGATCCAAGAATAGAACCATGGACTTGATGCCCCTGCGGAAGCTTTGTGATAACGGTGACCCAAAATTCAGCATAGAAAAGAAAAAGAATTCATGATCACTGTCTCCGGTCTAAGTGAGGTCCTTCCTTTTGACTCAAACCAAGTTAGTATGGTTTTTGCTCAAGCAGTTTGCTGTTGCTTGTCTGTTGTTTTTCTGCATATGAATCCAAATATCTATGGGCCATACTATAGAGGTTTATCTTTTTAGCCTAAATTTGGATATCAAATACGAAGTACACTTCCATACATACTGAAAATATTTGTAAGTAGCTACCTTGCAATGTTAGATTGATGACACATGTGAGTCATTTCAGATAAAGTAGTTTGAAAATATTATGTTAGTGCATGGTAACATTTACTGGTTGAATTTGTGTGCCAATCCGTTAACAGACCCCGTTGTGTAAAATGGTCTTTGTACAACTTTTTTCCCCTTAGTTTCTCCTCTATTAGCATTTTGCCCCATGTTACTTTGCTACAATTGCGATTTGAAAAAGGATTACCTCTTTGAACCTTTTGCTATTTGTCTCGTAGACTCAACAGATTCTGGGCGATGAGGAAAAACGTACATGATATGACAGGGGAGAAGACATTGTGACATCGGTTAAGGAATGGGCGGTGAGGGATTAAACCCATTCGGGAGGAGGGCAGCAGTTTACTTCCACTTTGAAGGAGGATTTCCAGCTGATGGTTTTCCAAGTGGGGGATTTGGTGGATTCCATTTTTGACCTTGATGGTGTTTGTTTTGCACGTTTTCTTACCAAGAAACTCCTCACATGGTTGCTGCAAGGGGTGCACTCTTATGCTCATTTCCAGGAAGTTTAGCTCCGTGGATACCATTTTTCTTTCTTTTATGTACCTTAGTAGCAGTAGACTTAGAGGAGAATTATTCGGATTGATAACAGGTCAATGTGTAACTTCCTAACTCGAATAGAATGTTGTGGATCAGATAACTGATGTAGTTACATTATCAAATAGTTCTTCTGAAACCAAGTGAAAATATTCGAATTGCTTTCTCATTTCTATACTCTGGCTTATTTGGGTTAAAAGGCGTAGTTGATTGAGTGATGTATACTGGTTCACATGAGCAACTGTACACTGCATTTACCTCCAGAAATAAGGTGAAGTGAAGTTTTTGAGGCCAAGTAACTCAGATACAGAGCATAGGGGTAGTCCAAGAAGCAAATATAACCACCCACGCCATATAAGATATGGTTATACACAACCCAATCGATCTTGAACATGCACATGAATGAATCACTACAAAACCCGAAATCAAAAATGTAAGAAACGGAAAACAAGAATTTAGGATTTACCAAAATTGACACGTTCTGAGCTTTAATATAGTGCTTGATGGGTCTATAGAGACGATTACACCCAAAATCCAAGCTTGATCCTTGTCCTTTCCCGCCGGAAACCGCCTTGGTCGATGGGGTTGAGTGACAGAGAGAAGAGAGAGCATAGAGAGTAGAGAGATGAAAGAGAAATTGGGCGGAAAAATGAGGAAGGAGTAATATTTTTCAAACTTTATATGTGACCCACAAGTTTTTAAAATGTTAAAAATGCTCCATCCACCCCAACCCACTTATTTAACCATTTTCCAATCCAAAAGAAATTGAGAAAGAAAAGGGGAGGCCACTTGACCAATTTAAGTGTTGAGGAAGTCTTGTTACCAAATGCTCTCATGTAACCATGTTAGGATAGGCTGGTTTTACAATTAAAGAAGAGCGTCTTTAAGCAGATTTTATCTGAATAGCTATAACAGCAGTCACTGATGCCATTAGGGTATGCTGTCTATATCATATACCTTTTGGAGTGCGGCCCTTTCCCGGATCCTGCGTGAACGCGGAATGCCTTGTGCACCGAGCTACCATTTTAAAAAAAAATCTATAATATTTATAGCAATTAAAGACTTTGAGCAAACTTATCAATTATTCATACAAAACGATAAATTATGCAATAATGGGTAACAACAATCCAAAAACTTAGATTGAATTTCATGGATAAGAAACTAAAAAAAAAACTCACATATGCATGGAATAAATGGTGTCAAGTACAAGGGGATCCTGAGGTATTATGCCAAAAATAAAAGTACAAAAGAAACAGACAAAAATAATAAAAGGAACTAAACTGAATTATAGTACTAGATGATTTATTTTCTTTTTAAATGCAAAAATCCATTGTTTAGCACATCTGAGAAATCAGAATATCCGTCTGGAGAATATTGCCTATAGAATTATTGTCTGGACACAGTGCACTGATTTATACAACAACAATAATGAGACAATAATCAATTTCTAATCTTTAGTACTTCTATATATGTACTTTATCAGTGAGTTACACAGGTCAATTCCCTTGTACCAATAATGGAGTCCAGACCAAAACCACTGCCCCTCCTTATGCTCTTCTATTGCTTATTATCATCAGCAATAATAACTGTGCTATCTTCCTTTCCCAAAGAAGCCCTGCCAACAAAATCAGGTTACCTCACAGTTAACTCAACAACTGGCTCAGCCATTTTTTACACTTTCTATGAAGCCCAAAAACCCAGCACAAAACTCCCTCTTTCTGAAACCCCAATTCTCATTTGGCTCCAAGGTGGTCCTGGTTGCTCTTCTATGCTTGGAAACTTCTATGAACTTGGTCCTTACCGTGTATCGTCTTCTTTCAGGCAAAACGTCGAACATCTTTCGCTCGAACCTAATCCTGGTTCTTGGAATCGAATATTTGGGCTCCTTTTTCTTGATAATCCTATTGGAACTGGATTTAGTATTGCTTCGACTCCTGATGAGATACCAAGAAACCAACATGATGTTGCTAAACACCTTTTTAAAGCTACAAGAGAGTTTGTTGCATTAGATCCTTTGTTTAAGACGCGTCCGATTTACTTAACCGGTGAAAGTTATGCTGGTAAATATGTGCCAGCATTTGGGTACTATACAGTGAAAAAGAATGCGGGTTTGCCTAAATCAAGACAGTTGAATTTAGCTGGTGTCGCGATTGGGAATGGATTGACTGACCCCGATACTCAAGTGGGCACTCATGCTTTGAGTGCTTATTATTCCGGATTGATCAATGAGAAGCAAAAGACACAATTGGAATCGCTTCAAAAGGAAGCGATTCGACTTACCAAAAATGGCAATTGGAGCGCGGCAACGAGTGCTAGATCGAGGGTGTTAGGGATGTTGACGAATATGACGGGGCTTGCCACTTTATATGATTTTAGGAGGCTAAAGCCTTATGAAGATGAATTGGTGGCTAAATTTTTAAGCAATGTAGATATCAAGAGGGCTCTAAAAGCAAATGATTCGATAGCTTTTGAAGTATGCAGTGATTCAGTAGGCAAAGCATTGCACGAGGACGTGATGAAAAGCGTGAAGTACATGGTGGAGTTCTTGGTTAAGAATACTAAGGTGTTGTTATACCAGGGACAGTGTGATTTGAGAGATGGAGTGGTGTCGACTGAGGCATGGATGAAGAAGATGAAGTGGGACGAAATTGATAAGTTTTTGGAGGCGGAGCGGAAGGTTTGGAGAGTGAATGACGGGCTTGCTGGATATGTGCAAAAGTGGGAGAGTTTGAGCCATGTTGTGGTAATGAACGCAGGGCATCTTGTGCCTACTGATCAAGCAGTGAATTCTCAGGTGATGATTGAAGATTGGGTATTGGAAAAGGGATTGTTTGCCACGGGTCAGATTAAGCAAAAGCCAAGAAATATTGGTAAATCACTCTGAGTTCTTTGTGGCATCTGCTACTCAGTTGTAGTTGTACTATGACTTCCTGGAAATTTGAGTTTTATGCTTGTTGTATCAGCTCCTTCACGAAGTTGGAAATGTTCTAACTAGAAATAAAAAGCAAAACTTTCTGATAATCTAATGCTTCGAGTTCATTTGGCCATCACTAATGCCACTGTTGTATCAGTTCCTTACACAATGTTTGTAATGTTGTAAGTAGAAATAAAAGGAAAAACTTTCTGATAATTGCAAGCAGAACACTTGGAGTTCATGTGACCATCACTAGTTTCTCTTGCTCTTGCTCATGCTTTCGTGATCTTTACATGTCTTGTTTTCTGGGAATGAAAGACTAAAATGTTGCGTCCTAACCATTCAGATACACTGCAGCTACAGGTACCTGGCCCATCGAATAGATGTGATCTTAAGAAAAATAGTAAATTGGGGAGGGGCATATTGAAGAATCGAAGATTAATAGGGAATTGACACAATTTTCATGCTAAATTGAAAGACATAATTTACTCACCCAAGATAAGGTAATGTTGCTCGGAAAACACATTGTTTGTTCAAAATATATCATCCTATTTCTTTTAGTTTATTTACACTAGTACTCTATCTAATTTCTCGTGTTCATTCTTCTAGACTAATAGACCATTTCTCGATTTGTGCGTGTCATCCTTGTCGCAGGGGCCATACTAATCTTCTCTGTATCGTTCCAGTTTTATCGGATGTCCCCGAAGGGACTCTTCTAGACTAATAGGAAAATAGAGTAGTAATGAATCTTAGAGATAGCTTTTCATTCTCTTGTATCAAGGTGGCGTGTTTATCCAAGCTTGGTGACTCTGTAAATTATTGCTTAGAAATTGTCAATGATTGAAAAAGAAAAAGAAAAAACAATATAAGGTCAGCATCTAATGTCATTGTATGTGTTTAAAAAGTGTATATAATTGAAGGAAGCATATTATTTTCCTTTGATTTGGAGAGCAAAACAAAACAACATTGGTCAATAACACCAATAAATCAGGATATATTTTCTTTGACAATTTCAGTGGAAGTAGCTAAAGGTAATGAACTTTTTTCAGTCTGCTTCCTCCTGCTCTTTCAAATATAGGTTTTTCATTCTTATAAAGATCTGTCATTTACTCAATGTCGATACATTCATGCTCACTCCACCTCGATAATTTGTTGTCGAGTCCATGTGAATACCAGCAGCAGACCACTACAAGCTCCCTATTCTCCTTATTGTCTTTTGCTACAAATGCGACTGTTTTGAGGTGATAAATGACAAGAGGAAGATCCAGTTAGAATCTCTCCAAGCTGAAGTCCGTTCATTGACAAAGGTGGCAATCGGAGTGAAGCAACAAATGTCAGAATCAAGGTTTTCAACACATTTCAAAACATGACTGGATTGAAACCTTTTAGTATCTTAAGGCAAAATCCATATGCAGTAATTCATGTAAGAATTTTTTCACCAAGGGTACCACCCGCTGGATCCAAGAATAGCAACATGGACTTGATGCCCATGCGCATGCTTTGTGACAACCATGATACAAAAGTCAGCATAGAAAAAAAAGAAAATCACGATTCACTGTCTCCCGTCTAGGTGAGGTCCTTCCTTTTGACTCAAACCAAGTGAGCATGGTTTTTGCTCAAGCGATTTGCTGTTGCTTGTCTGTTGTTTTTCTGCATATGAATCCAAATATCTGTCTATATCTGTAGGCTTAATCTAGATATCAAAATCCATACTATACAGTTTTATCTTTTTAGCCTTAATCTAGATATCAAATACGACGTACACTTCCATACATACTGAAAATAGTTGTAACTAGCTACTACCTTGTAATGTTAGATTGATGATACAAGTGAGTCAACAACAACAACAACCCAGTGGAATCCCACAAGTGGGTCTGGGAAGGGTAGTGTGTATGCTGACCTTACCCTTACCTATGAAGATAGAGAGGCTGTTTCCGAAAGACCCTCGGCTCAAGAACGTAAAAAATGGAGCAATAGAGAAACAATAGCAACAACAAGGTAATAAGACAGTAGAAGCAAATAATACAATGAGTAATGACAGAGATTCAGGGATATGAAACTACAAGAATAGTGCCAATCCTACACACCGTATAGAAACAAGGGACTAGGAATCAGAAAGTACCCGACTAGTACTACTACTATTGGTAAGACAAGGCGAAACTCTAGACTGTCTATCAACCCATCACCCTAATTTCAGATAAAGTAGTTTGAAAATATTATGTTGGTGCATGGTGACATTTACTGGTTGAATTTGTATGCCATTGTGTTAACAGATTGCGTTGTGTAAGATGGTCTTTTTTCAACTTTTCCCCCTTTAGCTTCTCCTCTATTAGCATTTTGCCCAATGTTACTTTGCTATAATCCCCTTTTGAAAAAGGATGACCTCTTTGAACTTTTTGCTATTTGTTTCAATGTTATGCCTCTCTTAACAGATTCTCGGCGATGAGGAAAAACGTACATGATATGACAGGGGAGAAGACAGTGACACGGGTTCAGGAATGGCGGTGGGGGATTCAACCCATTCGGTGGAGGAAGGCAGCAACTTATATTCCAGTTTGAAGGAGGGTTTTCAGGTGGGGGATTTGGCGGATTCCATTTTTGACCTGGATGGTGTTTGTTATTCATGTTTTCTTAATGACTTTGCCAAGAACTCCTCATATTGGTTGCTGCAAGGGACGCACAGCACAAAGTACTGTAGGCTCTTATACTCATTTCCAAGAAGTTTTGCTCTGCAGATACCATTTTTTCTTTCTTTTGGGTAATTTATTAGCAATAGACTTAAAGGAGAGGTCAAAAACTCTCTGAATAAGTTTATCATGATTCAGTCTCTTTTTTGGAATGTTAGGAGCATCAAATCTATGGGTGCCCTTGAGAGACTTAGACAAATGATTAGAAGCAAGAAACTTCCAATTATTGCAATATTAGAACCTTTCTACAAGGTTGATAAACCGGACAAATACAAAAGAATGTTGGGTTATGCAAATGCATTCTCCAATGTTAATAGTCAGATAAGGGTATTCTGGGATGAACTAGTGGTATGTCAGGTGGTGCAGTCTGATGAGCAACAAGTTACATATGAAGTGACAGTGGATGGAGGTTCTCTTTTGATGTCATTTGTTTATGCTAAATGTAAAGCAAGTGTGAGAGAAGTCCTATGGGATAGTCTTAGGCTTATATCTGATACTTATAAGATACCTTGGATTGTGGCTGGAGACTTTAACTGCATTCTTGATCCTATGGAAAAAAGGGGAGGAAGTCCACACAGAATGGCAAAAAGTATGGCTTTTTTACCGTGTATCATGGATTGTGACCTGATGGATGTTGGGTATACTAGCTCCAATTTTACTTGGTGTAATGGACGGAGTCCTAATAGGAGAGTTTGGAAGAGATTGGATAGAGTGCTGGTGAATCAAGAATGGATGAATTAGTTTGCTACTACAAATATCTCACACTTAGTTAGAACTGGTTCTGATCATTCCCCTCTATTCATAGTGATTTCCAAGAGTAAGGAACCTATTAAATACTATATAAACTTAGACTTTTGGGTTGACGAACCTGACTTCATGGAGGTGGTGGAACAAGCATGGGATGAGGAGATTAATGGCTCTCCAATGTGGAGATTTCATTTGAAACTAAAGAACACTGCAAAGAGGTTATCTGAGTGGTCTAGAAACTCTATTGGTAACATTTTTGATAAAGTAAAGGAGCTGGAAGATAGGGTTGCAGAGCTGGAGGCTATATCCATAGTTGATAACTCTGAATACTTTTGAACTGCTCTCAACCAGGTTAATGCAGAACTAATTAGAGCAGTAAAGAAAGAGGAGAATTACTGGAAACAGAAAGCTGGGATCAGATGGTTTGTAGAGGGTGAAGTCAATTTCCAATTTTTTTCGTTCAGCTATTAAGGGAAGGAAGAAGAGACTTTTGTCACGACCCAACATCCCATCACAGACGTCGTGATGACACTTAGTCTCTAAGACTAGGTAAGCTGATTACAATTACATTTCGAGCTTTTTTTTAAACACATAATTTAATACAAGTGTCGAAACCAAAAGCGGAAACAAATATAAAAACCTCTCAAGACCGGTAATACTGAGTCACGAACTCTAACTGAATACATGCAATGATCTCAAGGATCAAGTATACAATACTTGTTCGAATAAGAGTTGACAGTACAATAAAAATAGAAAGACTCTAAGGGACTGCGACGACCAAGCAGCTCTACCTTGAATCCTTGTGATCAACACACTAACTCTGTCCGAGTTCGATATCTCCAATACATGGCTCTGCACAAAAATGTACAGAAGTGTAGTATGAGTACACCACAGTCGGTACCCAGTAAGTATCAAGACTAATATCGGTAGAGTAGTGATGAGGTACAGTCAAGACACTCACTAGTCAAATAACATGTGCATTTTAGCATACAAAAATAAACGAAAGACAAACAACAGTGATAGCAACAATAATCAATAAGTGATATAAGCAACAAGGCAACAAGAACACCGCAAATATTACCCAAATAAATAATGAACACTAGCACAACCAATAAATCAAGTCCTTCAAAATATACATCTTTTATCTACAAGTTTTTTGAATAGAAATCTTTAGAATATGATCTTTTCCCATAAATATCTTACGAATATAATTCCTTCAAATAAATAACTTTCGAATATGGTTCTTCAAATAAAATCTTTCGAATATAACTCTTGCAATTAAATAACTTTTGAATAAAATTCTTCAAATAAAATCTTTCGAATATAATTATTGCAAATAAATAAATTTCGAATATAATTCTTCAAAGAAGATCTTTTGAATATAATCCTTTCAAATAAATAATTTTCGAATAAAATCTTTCGAATATAATTCTTTTCAAGTAAAAGTCACCATGTAACACCTCATTTCATAATCATAAAAATTACTCGTCTCAGCCCACTTTCATATTTCCACGACACCTCGTGCCCATATCTCTATCACAACCGCACGGACAATTCACAAAGCAGAAGACAAAATAATATAATGAAATGACTGATAAGTGAACAAATGAGAAATTACAGAAAGACAACAACACAACGAATAGAGGTAAATAATAGGGGCGCTCCCAAAGTACCGCCTCGTAGTCCCAAAAGTAAACACGCAACATGAGATCTTTCGAAGAACCACCTTGTAGTCCCAAAAGTAAATACGCAAAGTAAATATGCAAACAGGGGGATCTCCGAGGTACCGCCTCGTAGTCCCAAAAGTAAATATGCAAACAGGGGGATCTCCCGAGGTATCGCCTCGTAGTCCCAAAAGTAAATATGCAAACAGAGGGATCTCCCGATGAACCGCCTCGTAGTCCCAAAAGTAAATATGCAAACAGAGGGATCTCCCGATGAACCGCCTCGTAGTCCCAAAAGTAAATATGCAACAACAAAGACGAAAGAATAACTCAGCAAGAACAACCTCTTCTTAAATCCAAATTTCTGATAAATATATTAACGTCTCCATTTAAACTTATTTAATTAACTATTTGCAGATGAAAAATGCATAATGTAATTATTTTCAGAAAATGTCAACTCAACAAGCACACGGAATTCACACAAAAATTAAAGTAGCAATCACACCAAATTATCATATAAAACAAATTCGACAACAAAGAACGAGGCATGACAAATAAGGATTTAATAAGTGCCAGAAATTTCCAATTTAATACTTAAAAATTCCTACTACTTTAAACCAATACAATTTGCACATATAAGCCCAAGTACGTACTCGTCACCTTGCGTACACGGCTTTCACATTACACCAATTGGCACATACGACTCAATGCTTAAGGGGTAATTCCCCCACTCAAGGTTAGGCAGAATACTTACCTTTTTGAAGTTAGGCCGGTATTCCAAAATAACCTTCTTGCTTGAATTGACCTCCGGACAGCTCAAATCTATCCAAATTAATTGTATAACTTCATTAAAATTCATTGAAAATAATTCCGGTTAATAAAACGTCGACTTAAAAATTCACATTAAAAAGTCAACCAAAATTCAACGCGGGGGCCGCCTCTCGGAACCCGACAAAATTTTTACAAATTCGAATGCCCATTCCGATACGAGTTCAACCATACTAATTTTATCAAATTCCGATAACAACTCGACCTACGAATCTTAAATTTTCGTTCTTGAAGAGTTTTACAAATTCCTCCAATTTCTTCCATCTGATTCACTAATAATTGATGAAAATAACCATGGAATCATGAAGTATAATCACTTTTGGATATAGAACACTTACCCCAATCCATATGATGAAAATCGCCTCAAAAATCATTTCAATCCTAGCTCCATAGCTCCAAATATGTTAAAATGGCCGAAACCCCCATTTTTAGAATCTGTCCAGGCAAGTCGCATTTGACATTTGAGACTTATAAATCGCATTTGACACCTACGATTTGCATCAGCCCCAAAAAATAGCAGTCTTTCCCGGTACAGAAATGGACATAACTCTCTCATACGATGTCCGAATGATGAATAGTTTAACTTTCTGGAAACTAGACACCAAGGGCTACAATTTTCATGTTTTGTTCATCTCCCAATTCCTTATAGATGGCGAGACATAAGCTCCCAAAATCATCCTAGTGCAGCAGAAATTTCTGCGATGCACACTGCTGTAGCCAAAAATCAGCAGTTAAATATGGCCTAGAAATGGTCCGAAATTCCCCCGAGCCCCTTGGGACCCCGTTCTAACATACCAACAAGTCTCAAAATATATTAAGGACTTAGTCGAGGCCTCAAATCACATCAAACAACATCGAAATAACGAATCGCACCTCGAATCGAACTTATGAGTTTATGAAATTTTTCAAATTCTATATCTTGTGCCGAAACGTATCAAATCAATCCGGAATGACTTCAAATTTTTGCATACAAGTCATAAATGACATAGTGGAGCTGTTCCTATTTTCAGAATTGAATTCCGACCCCGATATCAATAAAGTCAACTCCCGGTCAAACTTTCCAAAAATCTTCTATTTTTCAACTTTCGCCAAAATGCGCCGAATTGTCCTACGGATTTCCAAATCCAAATCCGGTCATTCTCCTAAGTCCGAAATCACCATATGAAGCTATTGGAATCATCAAAATTCCATTTCGGAGTCGTTTGCTCAAAAGTCAAATCTCCGGTCAAACTTTAAAAATTCAAGCTTTATAAATGAGAATTGTTCTTTCATTTAAATTTCAAATCTTCCGAAAATCAAATTTGACCCAAAACGCGGGTCATAATACATATTACGAAGTTGCTCGGGACCATAAGTCACTGAACGGAACGTAAATTCTCAAAACGACAAGTCAGGTCGTTACATTCTCTCCCTCTTAAAACATACGTTCGTCCTCGAACGTGCCAATAATTATTCTGAGGACATTAAATTACTGAGTGTACTATTACACACCTACTCGCGGTGAGTCCACGTCACCGAAATTTTAACATGGTCCGACAACACCATCTGAATTGAGATTATTTCTTTTATCCACATTTATAAACTTTAAAACCAATTTCTTACACTCTAAACATTTCTAAAAGGCCTGATTTTTCACATCAACACACATTATTAGTCTCAACCGGTTGTAGCAACTGGTGCCTACGCACACGTCATACGTATTCCCATAACTACATCTCTGGTCATAATAGTTGTTCATAATCGATTACAACGTCGTCAATTAACCTCATGTTGACTAAAATCTCGTTTCAAACCTTCACCTTACTAATAACGAGACACGAGGCATGAAGACCTCATAATTATTTACCCAAATTAACGAGTCACATTTAACGCCACCTGGGTACTCATCTCGTAGGCTAAAACTCAATAATTGCCGCGCGAAATGGCTAAATATGCACATAAAAACACATACAAGAATTATCAAATAAGTCTAACAAGCATGACTCCCTATTAGTACTATAGTACAATTTAATTTCACAAAGGATAATTTAAACACATAAATTTTTATCACAAGGATCTCGTCCTTATATAACTTCTACCGCGGCTTGTAGCCCGGTTTAAACATTTCACATCATATTAAAATACAAGGATCCCTGTTACACCCCATGTTTTCGTACGTGAAAGTACGCCATAAGTAAATTGATGGAAGCTCGGAAATGAGATGTTACATCCCGCATTTTCGTATGTTAAAGTTTCGTCGTAAGTTAATCGACGTAAGTTCGGGAATGAGATTATGATCAAATTCACAAAGTGATATAGATTGGCAACGTGATTTTGCTTCAACAGAATTTATCCGAAGTTATATTACAAGGCTTCTTAGAAAATAGCAACGGGATTTTGCGATTCTAAAGGAGTATGGTGCAATTTTTCTCAAGAATATCATACGGATTTTCCCCTACTTCGATCTGCCGTTACGTATTTTATCACAAAAGACGTGTGTTAGAGGGATTGTGAAGATAATCGGCTTAGGTATGTTAAGGTTATCCCTTCTTTCTTTTTGGCATGATCCATATGATACAAACGAAACGAGCAAAAATACAGCTTTCATAAATGACTTTATTCATAGAAATACTAGGAGTGCCTATGTTCTTGATTCTCCATGTGAATTATTATTATATCTTCTGTTCATGGGTCTCAGAAAAATACGTAGTTGATAAAGTTTATCCAAAAGGCATATTGATTTTATGACATTCCGAGGAATCTTATTAACGTATTTCTTATGCATTTCATTCATTTATATATGTACATTGACCCATGACAAGATGGCGTTATATACGCGTATATTATATGTATATGGGATATGAAAAAAGGTTATGGCGTTATATACGCACCACCACCTGATCAGCTGGTATACGTTGATGATTTTGCCCATAGTGGCCGAGGTGATATGA